ACCTTTTCTCAACATGTTCCACAGTTCATCAGACTCCTCTTTTGGTTGGCATGCTGATGTGCTTAAGAGGATGCTGCAGACTGGACATCCTTCCATGCTCAGTTGACTTTAAAATTATGCAGGCGTAAGTTGCATACAGTCATCCTTTCATTTCTAAAAATGTTTGTTCATGTTACAGAAACCATTGCTGCTTAAAATGTCATGGTAAATTAATATCAACTACTTCTCTGAACCAGGTTTATACTCGGTGGCGAATGAAGCTGAAGAGAAGGGGCATTTTGTCCATTGATCTTGTACATAACCCTTGGACAGGCCTATTAAATCCTCATCATTTGTTGCAGTTTCCTGAACTACATCTAAGGCATCATGGCAGACTACAATTGCCCCTGCACTTCAGTGTGAGTATCAATGCCAACTTAAAATGTGGCTAACAAGTTATATCATGATATGCACTACATACTTTTGCTCAAATGTTCATTCTTCTGTCTCGGTTGCTCGCCGTGTTTCATATTGCTCTTAACTTGTTTCATCTGCAAGTTTAAGTATGACTTTTCGTGCACCAAATAGGGTTCTTTAACTGGCCATGTTATGTGCTTCTATTCTCTTGCTGAACTTGCATCAGGTCTGCAACCTGTAATTTTCATATTCTACAATTGAGTATTGGCTAGTGATCAACACTCATGCAGTGGTAGATGACAGTAATCTACAATAAACATAGCTCATTCTTGGCATGTACGAATTTGAATATTTTATTGGATCTAGTAAAAATCATATCATTGGAGATATATACAAGATAGTTGTTGCTGTTCGCTTGGTTGGGCAGTTAAAGGCATCCTAGGTGCATCCCTTGGGTCCCTCCGCCATGTGGGATCTGCTGCACTATCTGAGCACACATAAAACTAATGCATGTTACTTTAAAATGTACTATTTATCCCTATTGAAGTGAAACAAAAGAGAGTCAGTAATTTGTCACTTAGATGTATCCATATGTAACGAAGGAAAACATTTGTTGTAATGTCCATCGGATGAATCTTCTTCTAGTTTAGTGATTGCATTAGAATGTTTTGCATTACCCCAAAACTTGGTCACGGGTACTGCCAATACTTTCCTGTTCGATCAGTGCAATCCTTTCTCTTGCATCTTCATCATCAAAAAGGGGAAAAGAATGCCCAAGATGCCATTAAGTGACATGACTGGATTCAGTTCCCCAATCATGCTAATGGGATACGACTGTGTGGAGTTCAACTTGTCTCCCATCAAAGATTGAATCTTCTTCTCTTTGCTTTATCTTTCTCCCCAGTAACCCTGTCAAGTTTGACCAGTCCCAGAATAGAGAAGGCCAAACACAAACACAGAGAGAACATATCCCTCCTTCCCTGCCATGACCTCCGGTATGTGTTCCCTTCACCGCAAGCCACACGGATCAACTGTGAGCAGTGTGCCTGAGCTATAGCATCTACACCTCTGGTAACATGAACTATTTCTTCAACAATTTTCCTGTCTCAATAGTCGTTCCAAAAAGGGTAGAACGTGCAATGGTCCACCATCATGGGGAGCAAACTAGTCAGCAGAGGTGGTATTTAACATGTGCCCTAAAATGGAAGCCATCACCTCCCAGGTCACTCCTTGTTTGTGAAGATAAGATCAGAACATATTCTGCAGGCAGGATGGGGCCGAGAACACAAGCATTTAGCTTGAACAGTGTGCCAGCTCTGATACAAGAGTTGGAGATATCAGGTTGTCCACTTCCAACCCATCTCCTGTGCCTGGATACCCTACACGGTTGTGATAGATAAATAGTCATGATGTATAGCACAAATCGTATGATCCCCATCTTTGCAAGTTATTGAAATCCTCTATCTTGGTAATGATATATGATGAATAATAAAAGAAATAGAAGGAGCCGCATCAAACACACTTACAACTCAAAAGGACCACAGACATCCCAATTCCATTGAAATCGAAGTATGCCATTTAGCTGACGCAAGCGAGTGGGGATGCATGCTTTTGATGTTGACTTTAAGAAATATCAATCCTGTGTGTGCATCGCGCCGGTAGCAGTGGTCTTCGTCTTCAATGTCTTATTTACTTAAGACCTGTCATTGCTTTTGGCACTGTTGAGTTTGTGGTTGAAGGCTTCATAGCTGACTTGTCTGACACCTAATTGGGAAGGAATCTAATACATCAGATAAAACACTTGGTGTGCAAATAATTCCATGCCTGATAGATATACATTTGTCTCCTCATGGAGTATCATTCTTAGCATTAATATATCGGAATAGAGTAAATGATGAACCGACCGACCAAATTAAACGCTCACAAACTGCAACTGGAATTGATCATCGTTACTCCTAATCAACAACACCTAATGTTGATTTGCTTACTCCACATGTCTATCCATATCAATATCACCGAGCTTATTCAGGCGTCCTTCCCACGGAATCAGACAGCGGGGTGTCGGATAAAGTGTCAGCGGTTCGGCAGTCTCCGTCCTTGTCTCCACAACAATGGCCTGTGCACGAAAAAAGCATGCCACAAAAACATAAAAAGACCTTCTGGTGATTTTGAGCTCCTCAAGCTCGGGATGATGATGAAAAATATCAAGTTGCTCATTTCAGTGTTATCCAAGTGTAATCTCTCTCTTATAACTATACGGTTTCTGGTTGGCCTTTTGACAGAACGAGCGATAATAGGCCCATTGAGAGGTTAAATCTGTTTGCGGTGAGGCGTCGTTTGGGATAAATCGTGTAAAATGGTCTTTGGATTGGATTCGGGAAATATATATATGTATGTATATATATAAATTCTTGAGAAATTATTGACACGGGGATTATCCCAATTATTTCCTGCTGTCTACCACCATTTGTAGGCCACCAGCCATGTGCGCGGTGAGCATCGGGACCAACGTTGGCTTCTGTCGCTCACCCTCCACCCTCCTCAGCGCGAACTCTCGGAGCACAGCCGCCGCAATGTACTTCATCTTGAGAAAGGCCATCTCCTTCCCCAGACAGATCCTTGGCCCGGCTTGGAAGACCGGGAACTTGAACGGCGACTCTCGCACCACCTCCCCGCTCTCCGACAACCACCTCCTGTGATCGAAATCCAGGCAGTTCTCCCCCCAGAGCCTCTCCATCCTCCCCATGCCGTAGGGGAAGTACGTCACCCGATCGCCTCCCCTGATCCGCGTCCCGTCGGGCAGCACGTCGTCGCTTACCGCGTGCTTAGAGTCCCACACCACCGGCGGGTACAGCCTCATGCTCTCGCAGAGGCAGGCTTCCAACGTTTTCATGTCTTTGAGCGCATGTAAGTCCGATCGTCCCTTGGCTCGTTTCGCTTCTTTGACCAGCTCTGCTTCGACCTCGGGGTGGCCTGACACGAGCCAGAAGAACCATGTCAGAGCCGCCGACGTCGTGTCCCTCCCCGCCATCACGAAGCTGATGACCATGTCGCGGATCACCTCTTCCTCGTGGCCTCCGGTGATGAGCCTCGACAGGAGGTCTTTGTGCTGTGTGCCATTCTCCAGCGTCGCCTTCCTCCTCCGAATTACCTCCATGATGGATGCATGGATCAGTTTCACCGCGGCTCGGAGCTGACGCTCGGAGCCGACGCCGAGCGCGCGCTTCGCCTTCCAGACCACGAAGACCGGCGCAGCCCCTCGCTTTGCGCTGATCGCCGAGGCCACCTCGAAGGCACCGGCGAGGGCCGACTCGGGCAGCGAGGGGTCGAGGAGGCCGGGGTCTGTGCCGAACGAGATCTTGCACACGGTGTCGAAGGCGAAGCGGCGGAGCAAGTCCTGCATGTCGACCACCCGCCGGTCGGCGCACGCGGACGACAGGATGGGTAGCAGTCTCTCGCCGACCTCGCGCTCCAGAACATTAACGACGAATTCACGCAGGGATCGGGCGCTGAACTCGTGGCTCGCGAGCTTGCGCTGCATGTGCCAGAGGTCGCCGTCGGCGCTCAAGATGCCGCGCCCGAGGAAGTCGCCGAGGATGTCGGTGAAGGGCTTGCCCTTGGGATAGTTAGGGAAGTTGGTCTTGAGCATGTGCTCCAGATTCTCGGGGTTGGCAGTGACGACGATCCGACGAGCACCGAGGCGCCACATGACGAAGGTCAGGTTCGGCGATGCCTTGAGCATCTCCGTGTACCAATCCAATAGCCTGTGCCTGTTCTTATAGAACGGAAGCAACGATCCAATGACGGGGTGCACTTTGGGACCGTGGCACGAAGGAACGGTGCCAGCGGCCGACAGTCTCAGGACCAATCGGTGCAATATCAGGAAGAAGACAAAGAAGAAACAAAAGAGCAGTAGCGGAAGGGGTGGCATCGGAGGAGATGGCAACTGATTGCAGAAGCTGAACAATACCAGATAAGGGTTTTCACTGCGGAGAGAAACAGAGATAGACATAAGAGAGAGAGAGAGAGAGAGAGAGAGAGGGGTCGGAAGCAAGTAGGGACCGTTGGAATTTATATGGGGGAAAGGGAAAGGTGTGGTGTGCAATTGAGCACGTGCCGAAAATGTAGCAACAATGCATATCCGTTATCAAGTAGTAGGCAATAATACTAATATTGCCATGATAAAATGGCTTGGGTTAATCTTAATTAGGATTGAAGTAGAAAATGTATGGGACCAAAGAGTTTAAGATTAATCCGTGAAATCTATCCATCTTTTCTTTATCTTATCCTCTCGACGTTAAACCTGAATTGATCATATTATTATTTCTTTCGCTCCTATTCAAACACTCGGTCAAAAATTATTTCTGAAACTCAAAACTCTAATCTTTAGAATCAGTAGAGTTACTGTCAGATTCACTGTCTAAAAAGCAATCCATCCTTTCTTTTCTTCCTCTTTATCATATCTTTTTTCTCTGCTATCGATCAAAAGCTCAATTGGATACACCTAATCTAGCCAAGATTCCCAATGACTTGTACTAATCTTCGATGTTCGATGAAGTTGCATATGATTATATTAGCTGTCTCTTATTTCACTTTGGGTACATATAATATGTATATATATGACTTAGAATTTAATTTTATTCTTTACAGAGGTTTATTTTATACCGAAGAAATAAAATAAAAACATCGCATATTTGGATCAACAATCACCACAGTATGTATGCTGGATAGAACTCTGGATTTCTAGTGGCCATCCCTCAAATCCCAGTCCACAAATATCAAGTTGTGGTGTGGTTGAGAACGAAAGCTATCAAGTCGATGATGGACCATTAGAAGCCAATTCTTTTCGATGAAGCTATAGAAAATATGCCCACTCAAAAAGAAATTAAAGAGAAGCCCCAAAAAAAAACAAAAAGAAAGAATTCAAGTACAATAATGATGATATCATAAAATATATTTTTATTTTTCATCGTTTCACACGACTAACGAATGATATGTCAAAAAGGAAGAAAATTTTTTCAAAACTAAAAGAAAATAATTATAGATCAATAATTAATAACATACTAGAAAGTCAATATAAGATTAATGTGATTCAACAAATCTCACCTACTTTCATTGAAAATTAGATTTTTTATTATGTAAAGTCAATTATATCCTTGAATTATCCCTATTTAAACATAAATCCTCTCGTATAGACATAAATCTACATTTTTTTCTCTCTCAGGTTCTTTAGAAATCTTAGAGGATAAATGACCTAAAAGATAACTTTATTTAAATATCAAGAGTATCAAAAGGTTTATCATATTTTATATTTCCTCGCTAAAGATAATGAAATATTTATAGAAAAAATAATTTTTAATTTTTAAGATTTTCTTATTTGCATCATTGATGACTCTCGTATTAGAATTTCTAATCCTTCGGACATATAGACTTTAGAAATCTAAAAATATTTGTTAATCATATGTGAAAACGACAACCAACACCTATAACAAAAATTCAGAATTATAAATAATAATAATAAATAATAAAGAGGATGAGAATTAGTGGCCATGCTTCCTTTGTTCACCCACAATATGAGGACAGCGAGAAACAACAATAAAGGGGAACAAAATCATTTTTCATGTGGAAAAAATAAAATTAAAACCTTGAAATTTTAAATTAAAAGAATTTTATTTATTATTATTATTATTATTGTAAAAGGGATAATCGACCCTAATTCTTGATGGAAACATTTGTTTTGTTGCCACATTTGCATCGGTGTTGACAGTCCGCCCACAGCTTGTACTTATGCTCCATCCCTCGTTGGATGCGAGATGTGCTTTGTTTCTTGTACCAAAGTAGTAGAATCATTCATGTATCGAAGAGACCTATCGATATAATAACTTGAGAAACCTTGAGATTGGACGGTAAGTATAGCCTTTTTTTTTTAGAGTGATTTTTCTATAAAAGACTTTTATGTTGAGTTTTTCACTTTTTATTTTCGTTTTTTTTTCAAAATAGTATCTTATAATTTAAAAAACATTCAAATTATTTTTGTCACCTTTGCCTATACCATCTCGTCCATCATTTGTCATCTTTGCTTTTTTTTTTCATCTTTAAGGCCTTGTCTCTAGTGGAGAAACAACGAGGAGGAAGGAAAGAAAAATGAATAAAATAAGAGATAACAAAGAAAAAGAAGAAAAAGGAAAACTACGGATGAGTAAGGTGACAATGACAGTTTAATTACTTTTGAAATTAAAATATACTATTTGAAATTAAATTAAATTTCAAATTAACACTACCATTAAATTAACACTACCATTCTACCAAAATTTCAGCTTCAAATCGTATAATCATAATATAATTACACTGTTTTTAAAATTATTATGTGCAAATATAATTATATAAGAGTGGAGGTACTCCCTATATTTACAATAATCTAAATATACTGGCCACAATACTTCTTCATACATAACTCAATATTATCTTAACGAAAGAAACCCTCAACACTCCTCTTTCCATCTCCATTTGTACCTGTGGAGACAATTTTCTCCTTTTTTTTTTTTTCTTTCTTTGCTTCTTTTTATTCTTATTATTTTCACTTTTTCGGCATTAATGATGTCCTTATCGCGGCGTCACGTCGTAGTCGCAAGACAATGACATCGCGATTATATTAGGCTACAATATTTTCGAGCAAATAAGATCGAAAATACATCTGAGGACACGATTCGTGCCTTGACACATCTTCTAATCTATTTTATTTTTCTTTATTCCAATAAAGAAAGGAAGAAAAAGACATGTCCGGCAATCAACACATGCAAAAGATGCTTTAAATCGTGCCATCCGAAACACCAGTCGGATACGGCAAAAGCTGTCATTACCTGATTTTGACTAAATGAGGTAAAAACAAGAAGAAGCGGCAGACAAACGGACGGCTCAGAAAGGCCTATGTGTTGACATTTAAAGCATGCACGTTGAGAACGTTTATATAATGGACGGGAGAGAGCACCCATTTTTTCCCTCCCATTATTGAACACGTCGTACGGTCTCGTGACAAACGACGACGACACCATAAGGAACTGTTATTTCCTTACGTATCCAATCCCTAAGTTTGTGAACGTAAATGCTACGCGTGTCGATTTTTTCGTCTCATAACTCATTGTTTATCTTTGTTTACTTCAAAACAAATTTATATTTCATCAATCTCGAAAGAGCCAAAGGCAAAAACTTTCTCGATTGATAAATACATTTATTCGTGTCAACATCTGACAAGTGCAAAAGTCTATCTCTATCTTATCGATCCTCCATTTTTTTTCTTTCTATTATTATTATTATTATTATTTATAATTAAATTTGTATTATGATAGTCTAGTCAAACTGACGTCGTTGATGACCTAATCAATTGTTGAGCATCATAGATATCAATCCAATATATTTTTTTTTCAAAAATATTATTTATCTCATAGAATATTCATCCATGTATGTTAAATCGATTATAAAAGCTCATCGAGTCAAATCAATTACTACATTACTGAAAAATTTTAAGACTTTATTCGATCGTGATCTTTTGTGTAGATCAATATTCGATAGAACATTTATATTCTTCTCTACTCAAATCAAGTTAGGTTGAATTAAATATCACTGATATCTTCCGGAATATAAAAAAAATCTATTGGGTCAAATCAATTACTATCTTACTAGAAATTTTTACTTTCCTTTTTGTAGCTGATGTAAGCATCAAGAACTTCGTCCAATCTTGATATTTATGTCGATCAATACTTGATCGAACACTCATAATCTTATCTATTCAAACCAAGTTAAGCTGATTCAACATTACTGGCATCTTCCATTTTAAATATTAAAGAACTCATTGGGTCAAATCAATTATTACTTTACTTGAATTTTTTTACTTTTTATTTTATAACTGACGTAAGCATCAAGAATTTCATATGATCTCGATCTTTGTATAGATTAATATTTGATCAAACGTATACGATCTCTCGTACCAAATTCGATTGATTCAAACATTATCCACATCTTCCATATTAAAAAAAAGCCCATCAGGTCAAACCAATTACTACTTTACTCAAAATTTTTATTTTTCATTTTATAGATCAGCATTCGATCGAACATCCGTGAATCTTCTCTACGCGAACCAAGTTAGAATGAATCAAATATCACCGACATCTTCCATGTTGAATGAAAAAAAGCTCATCGGGTCAAATCAATTACTACATTACTTAAAATTTTTATTTTTCATTTTGTAGCTGACCTAAGCATAAGGAACTCCATCCTATTTTGATCTTTGTGTAGATCAACATTCAAATAAACATCTACGATTTTCTCTACTCAAACCAAGTTAGAATGATTCAAACATCATCGACATCTTTCACGTTGAATGATTAAATCAATTACCACTTTACTCAAAATTTTTTACTTTTCATTTTTGTGTAGATCAACATTCGATCAAACATATGTGATATTCTCTACTCGAACCAAGTTAGGTTGATTCAAATATCACCGACATCTTCCATAATAAATGAAAGAAAAAACTCATTGGGTCAAATCAATTATTTCTTTACTCCAATTTTTTTATTTTTTATTTTATAGCTGATCTAAGCATCAAGAACTTTATTTAATCTCAATTTTTGTGTAGATCAATATTCAATCGAATGTCCATGATATTCTCTACTCGAATCAAGTTAGGTTGACATTTTTCACGTTGAATGAAAAAATATGATTGTATTTATACCAAGAAATCTACTTGACAAGCAATCTCCCATTCAAACAAAAAAATGAACGGTTTATACGAATTTTATATTCAAATGTTCATGAGTATTCATCATACGTACTCAAATGTCTGATGCTTAATTGGTTTATACTAAATACATCATCGTTGGATTCTGAAATTTCGGACCCAAATCGGATCAGATTCGGGTCGGGTCGGGTCGGGTAATAAGGCCTATCCACGAAGGTCTCGGGCTGGGCCCTGGTTTTACTATAAATCACCGACGGTGACGTTACCACTCCCGACCGGCCGCTCTCTATTTCTCGTAATCGGGAAGCTGGTTTGGGGATTATTAGGATTAGGGTTTTGGCTGAGCGACCGATCGATCTATTTCTTCCGATCTCATCAGGTTCTTGATTTGTCCAGCGTTTTTTCTCCGCGCTAATCTCTTAAATCCAGCGTTTTGTTTGCAGGTTCGATCGTTTCTGGCATTTTTCCTCACTCACAGATCTCTTGAAACGGAAAAGTTTTGGATCTTTGTGTTCTTCTTGCTTGTTGCAACTTCTTCCCCTTGGTCTGATCGCACGGGGCGCGTTTTCTTATCGTTATCAGATGGACTGGCAAGGGCAGAAGCGCGCGGAGATTCTGATGCAGATCATGCTCGTCGTGTCGGCGGTCGCTGCTTTCGGCGTCGGATACACCATCGGCTCCTTTCGGACGATGATGCTTGCATACGCCGGTGGAGTCGTGCTTACTACGCTGATCACCGTGCCCAACTGGCCCTTCTTCAATCGCCACCCCTTGAAGTGGTTGGATCCGAGCGAAGCGGAGCGTCATCCGAAGCCACAGGTGAACTCTGCTGCCGCTTCTTCCAAGAAGAAAGCAGCAAAGCACAAGTAGGAGTCAGTATTCTGGCACCGATGAGCATGTCATTGGGGCTTATGCTGTTCGAATTCTATTTGCGGAGTCATGTTGTGGCAGTGCCTTATGCTTTCCGTGATGTTGTCTCAAAGCAACTTTAGCATCACATATCCATTGAGCTAATTGTTAACTCATACTTCAAACTTCTAAGTATTTTAGCTAAGCCTTATGTTGTCTTTCTTTTCCTTATACCGTTTGTTTGTTACTCCAAATGCCATGCTATTAGTTCCTTTATTATATGTTTCTTTTTCTTGTGTGAGCATATGTGCAGGTAAAGCATATATCACCTTGTTAACTAGTAATGGAAATCTGTGTTCTCCTTACAAAATCAGTGAAATGGCTCTTATGCACTGGATGGAAATGGTTGATGACTTGATCATGTCTTCAAAATTTTAGTGTGTTATTTGGTTCTAATTTTGCATTGCTGTTACCTTTGAACCTCAAAGTGGTCTAGGTTTGACAATCATGTTTTATATATTCGGACTCTTTCCTCTTAATTTCAACAAATGATGACGACCAAGATGCATTTTGTGGAACAAAACTCTTTCTCTCTCAGTTATTATCATAAGTGGGATCAAATTCTCTTTGGTGGTCTATAATGAAATATCATGTCAAGAAAGCCACTGTTCATGATTAGGAAGCAAGAAGCATATCCAATTCTAAGATCCGAAAAGGTTTTCTAAAGTTATTCTAATAATCAAAAGCATATCCAAAGGATTTATCTGTAAACAATTGCTTGAAAAAATGGATAAAAGAGTAGAGATTTTCGTATTATTGACTTAACAGTAGCTTATGATGGAATTCTTAGAGATAAATGCTGTTGATTTTTGTAAAAGGAGCTCGAATGGATTCAATGATGTGATCAAAGAGATAATTTTGGTTACTAGTGTTAGGTAATCTAAGACACAAGATTAAATAGTTTCCTTTGTTGTAGGCTAGTACGAAGGAACAATATTAGGTTATTATCAATTTATACTTAAATGGATAAATTTGCCACTGATTTACTTGGTAAAATTTTCAGTTTGCATGTATGTGTGTCTCTTCCCTTTTCTCTCTGGATTTTATAGGATATAGATTAATAGGCTGTAATCTACACCACTATGATCTTGCAGAATTACCTGTTAGATATTTCTATGTATTAGAAACTAAGTACCCAGTTACTATGTAATCAAATTTTCCCATATTTTAATAGTTAGTGTTGTGTTCGTTCTGAAAACATGATACCCAAGTATCTAGGATTTAAATTACAGTCTTCATAAATATAACCTTACAAAATAATACCCAAGTATTCTCATCTTTAGGAACTAAGGTGCTAGGTACCATGTTTGTAAGATTTCCTGCCTCCTAATAGTTAGTGGTGTCTTCACTTATTGAGTTGTTTCATTAAAAAAATAGTATGTTTTTTTCTTCAATGTCAGATTTAGTAATGCCTTCTATAATTTGTGTGCATGGTTTATGTTATCTTTTACATGGCAAGCGTGGTCGTAGGGTCTCTGGTGTTATGGTCGATGTGCATGTTATCTTATTTTTCTTGTTCTTTTTTCCTGAATGGTTTATGTTATCTTTTACATGGCAAGCATGGTTGTAGGGTCTTGTGGTGTTCTGGTCGATGTGCGT